GACTTTTATACGCAGTATTAAAAGCTGGTTCTTGATATGCTGGTGCGAACTGACGCTGCTTTAATGGATTGCGTTTAAAACTGCCATCAATGACATTAAATTCTCCAACAATAGATGCAAGTGCCCGCCAACATTGAACTATTTTTTTTCCCTAACGAACGTGAATTAATAAACAGATATTTAAGAGTTCGCTGTATAATCGATTTCGTAATAATTCTTTGATTGCTACATACATAATCCAAACTGATCTTCCTCGCAGCGTTGTGAAATTCATTTATAATGCCATATTCAATCTTTGCCAACCTAGCATTATTCAATTTTACAACAACATCAAAATAGCCCAAATATTTCTGATTTAATTGTAAAGTTGACTCATTTTTAAATGATATTCTTCTTTCTCCTGAAGTGATATACGATGGTTTCTTGCAGTCAAAAAGAATAGCAATATAAGTCAATTCATATAATTTATCAAGAAATAAAAGGTATACATATTAAATGCCAACCAAAGTCGAAGCCCTGAAACTGCTTGATAAAGATGCACTTGGCGAGAATTGACTTCGAAATACGCTACTCCCAGCACTACTTGGAAGTTCTGTTGATCTCATTGTTATGTGTTGGCCAAATTCTTCAAACACCTTCCTCTTAGTTTTATCCCACTCTGAACTTAGACAGCAATCGAAAAGAGCGTTATATTCATTGTCAGTCTAAATTAAGAAATAATTAAAAGTGCATAATATATGAGCATACAAATAATAGTGACAATCGACCTATTATTATAATTGTATGTATAGTAAAACTACTTGTGTATAACCATCCTTTATAATACTTGTGATCGTTTGTTGGTGTTTGTGGTCAAGATATCTCTGGTAACAAACGAAAAAAAAGTCGTCAACTAATAGAAATCACAATATTAACCTTATTAATTTGACTGGTACATACCTCAACATCGGTATCAAGCAAAATGGTGCGTGGCTCGAAAGCACCTAATACGGAGATACTTTTTACATCTTGTGTCAATTTGTCACCATCGATCCCAATATTTGCTAAGAAGTAAGGACTAGGTGTATGTCAATAAAAGAGCAAGTTTTGTAATATAATGATAGAATAAGCGAATTCGAGTCCTAATATAAGACACAAATCGAGCCATAGAATACGTGTATTACTTTGAAAGAGTAAAATATGGCGTTCATCGATTTGCACTTATGCTTCTAGTTACATAATTATCTTTACAAGAATTAAGAGGAATTAAACACGCACGCCTTTCTTTCAGGGGCATCTCCGGGCTTTACAACTTTGTCAGCAAGCTTACGCGACTGTTTCTCGATTTGTTCCAAATTTCGTTCGATTAATGGCAGATCATGTTTTACAATCGTGTTTGCAACACTCCGAGATCTTTCCACGAGTTGTTTTAGCTGTATATTGTTTGCCATATTTTAAAGAACCAAGAATAATTCAATAAACCTGCACAACTCCAAATCTCTGACGCATATAACTGTATGAATAGATAATTTTGAAGTGCCTAGAATATACATGTAAATCAGGTTTTTTTTGTATTATCCGCAGTAAGCTTAAACGCAGTTATAAAATTAGAGTGGGCGACCACGGTCAGATGATCCGCGCCACAGCCGCAGTACATCGGGTTTGAAAGGTTAGTTGTGCGACCCTCTGATTAAACTTCCTACGTAAAATATTAATATATGTTATATAGATAATTAAACGGTCACCTCTTCCTAAAATATATGTTAGATAAGTATTTATTCTTGAACTCTGATTATTTAAAAAGCAAAGAAACGATTTAATCAATATTTTGTAGATGGCTTAAGTTTGGTATAAGAGTAACGAAAACTGTATGAACAATAGAAAATTTATTGAGGTATAAAAATTTATAATATTAAAGTATATAAATGTTTATTTGCGCCTGGTACATTAATTTTTTTAAAAAAATATAAATATATATATATTTTTTTTGGGAAATTATAG